CCCCAAAACCCCAAAACCCCAAAACCCCAAAACCCCAAAACCCCAAAACCCCGTGATATTAAACTAAAGTTGAACTAATAGTAATTCAGGTTTGAACAATAGGATAAGTTAAGGTTATCCAGAGATTTTGTTGTCTTCCTCCAGTTTTTGCTTTAATCTAGCTTGGAGCATATCATCAAGGTTTGCTTTCTCACCGTTCTTGAGTTTCTCTGTGAATTCAAGCAATATTTTTCCATAACCTCCTGATCCGAGCTGAGCAGAAATCGCGGCATCTCTTTGTCCAGCTTCAAATCATTTGTCCATTACAGGTTGGGTGAATGAGATAATATCGAGAGGAGAGCTACTTAGTTTCTGAGAGGGATAAATTACATGCCTAATCTCTACATCTGGGAAATTTAATAAGCTTGAGTTATAATCATTCATACCGTTGTAAAACGAGAAAATATCTTGCCCTCTGAAAAAGTGGTCAAGAGCCGAATAGCTAGAGAAATCAGGCTCTTCTGTGATGTGTGCGGCTGAGACAAGGAAAATGTCAAGAATAATATCTGACTCGTTTTCAACGATTTCCTTACAGCGTCTGATTGGAGATTCAATATCAATGTTCCAAACAGTACCTCCATCTACTAGTTCATCATCTCCTCTGGTAACATGAGGGAAGACTCCTGGGATAGACGAGGATGCAAATGCAGAATCGATAAAATCATCAGGTAGTACGTCTGTCTTATCGTAGTCAAAATTAATGTATTGCCCTGTGTTGGCATTCATAACTGAGAAAGTAATTTTCTTCTGAGGGGTCTGGCTTCCATATTCTCTGGTAACCCAAGCTCTTCCTGGGTCAAGATCAAAAAGGCCTTTATGGAAGAATCCTGCAAGAATACCTCCAGGCCAAGTATCGAATGCTTTATCCATTGGGATACTAGACCACAGTCCATATATGAAATTGGATCCAGCTTCGACATCCATGGGGTCAAATCCTGAAAGACCAAGAGCATTCAAAGAACCTGCTGATACACCAGTGACGACATCATAAGCAATGTCTTCTGCTGGCAAATTATTAACAAGTCCAACAAATACAGCAGCTTGATATGCTCCAAGAGCACCTGCACCTGACATAGTAAGGGCTCTGCACTTTTTGGCACTAACTGAGTTTGTCATTAGCATAAGCGCCATGAAAAATAGCAAGGTTTTGCACAGTGACGACCTATTCTGAGAAGTATGCTTCATCATTGCTTTTATATTAATATATAACACAATTATATATTATTAACATGGGGTTTTGGGGTTTTGGGGTTTTGGGGTTTTGGGGTTTTGGGGTTTTGGGG